AACCTAGTGGTCACAAATGACTTGCAGTTCCCTGCTGTTTCATGCCGTTCCCTGCACCTGTGCCTACACACAGGCCTTTGTCTAGGTGGTGGGTCTTCTGCCTGGTCTCACTGAGCTACTTTGTTTAGCTGGTCATTGATGGTTTTATGCTGGCTGTCTGCTGGGGTAACAGGGGTAACCAGACCTCATGTCTCTCATAATCAAGTAGGCTAAGCCAGGCTTGCTTTCATGGAGGTCTCAGGGTTCTCCAGAGCAGCAGGAGAGAGCGGATTTCAATGCACAAGGATTGTTCAAGTCTCTACTGGGGCCACATTTGCTCTTAGCCCATTAGCCAAAGCAAGTCACATGGCCAAGACCAGAGTCAACATGAGAAGGAACTGCAAAGGTTGTGGATAACAAGTGGAACACACTACTTAGCCTTCTGGGTGTTACCTTCTCTTCGTTAATTCATTCACTCATTTGTTCCACAGTCTTTATGAATACCTAAGCAAAGCCCTAGGCAAGGCACTGAAGATACAGAAATTTTTCTTAGTGACTGGAATTTATGTTCTAAGACAGTCACTCAATAACTAGCACATTCTGTAAAAGACAAGGATTTGTGGAGGTCCCAGAAGGCAAGGTGGGCCTCAGGAGGTCTCTCTGCATTCTTCACCATTTCTGCAAAAATTGCTACCTTGTTATTCAGAATTACATATTAATAGCCACTTTTTCCATAAGAATCAGAAACCAAGAGTCAGAAACAAAATTTTAAATATTTTCAGTGTGTATGTTTTTAAAACTGTGACTGAAATATTACTGCATTTCTTTGGGAACCTACACATTTAAGCATGAAACTGATAACAGCATTTTCACTAAATATGCAGATGTCAAGGTGAGTTACAGGTGAGTTACAGGAGCATTTAACATTTCAATTCCTTAGGCTCCAAGTTGTTCACCTGTTCATAGGAAAAAATAGCTGCTTGTAACTTCAAATTCATACATGCAAAAATTGCAGAGACCAAACGTTCAAATGAAAATCATTTTAGAGACAACTACCTAAAGTTTCCATATGAAGAGTGTTTATTTTTTTCTAGGATTAGAACAGATTGCATTGGCAGCCTGGTCTTTCATAAAGAGGGGGGTGGGGAATAGAGTTGGGCCTTCATTTTCTCACAAAGGCACAATGTGAAGCGCATCTGTGAACATTGCATAATTTGTTATGTTCTACAAAGAGGTGGGTTTTTGTTGTACACATACCGAAGCTATTTGGTACCATTTCACCAACGATCTCTATTCAGGTCCAGAAAAGAAATTGGCCTCAGAAGAGTGAAAGGAGAGTAAATTTTTCTTTAAAAATTAGATACAGATTATCACTTCAAAATGCAGGAGGGAATTTTACAAGTGCCGGTGTACTGATTAGCTTTCCAATGGACATCCAGCTCTTTATAAAGCACATACTAGCTGTGGTCAGCTGTGACCGATGTGGTTTATTACTCTCCAGAAGGGCTGAGCTGAGATCACCCATCTAATTTAATTGAGAAATGTTGGATGAACTTGAACTGTTTCATGGACATGAATGACCAGAGAATTTATTTGATGAGACATTAAAGGCTGAATACGGTAACTATCTCTTTGATGGTTTAGTACAGTCGATTCTTTAGTTCCTTAGCATGTCTTTCATATTTTTCATTATTACCTGAGCAACCTAAATGAAAAAGGCAAAAAATAAAAGCTTTTGTACAGCATCATTACAAAAAATGAGCAACCTTCCCTTTATTGGTAAATATTTGTGATCATTTTAAATTTAGTTAACACTTTTAAAAGTGACATCAGCTTTCCAGTAAAGGAAGTTCACAGCAATTAAATTGTGAAAAACATGAATATATCCAATGGTATTTTTTTTATGTCTTCTGACTTCATTCATTAAAACAAAACCCCCAAAAAAAGCCTTTACGAAGTTGGCATGTTATTCACCAGATGAGCTCCTTTGCATTTTCTTGTAAACTGGGCAGTGTGAGCTATAATTGGCCTCGCAATGAAATGTTTACAGTAGCTTTATCAAGAGTATGGCACAGAAGTGGCATCAGATGACAGTGCTTCCTCTTCATGTATGTCTGCTAACATTTAAGATAGCTTCTGCTTTATTTTCAATGACTAATGCTAAGGCATAACTTGGATATACACATCCTTTTAAAACCATATTAAAATATTATATATTTTCAATTATCCACAGAAAGTCAGAACTGGAAACTCTAAGAATAAATTACAAAATCACATAACTAGTGACTCCTTAAATGAAATTTTTTATCGAAACTTTGTCATTAAAATTGAAAGGCCTTTTGGCTTGCCTGTACAAGCATAATAAATTGTATATGTTTGTGATACTGCATGACTTTCACCCATATGCTGCACTGCAAAGCTACATGAATGAGGCATTTACCAAATTAGGTAAATGCCTTATACTTCATGTAACTGGTGACTCTTTAAATGAAATTTTTTATTGAAACTTTGTCATTAAAATAGAAAGGCCTTTTGGCTATGCCTGTACAAGCATAATAAATTGTATATGTTTGTGATACTGAATGACTTTTACCCATATGCTGCACTGCAAAGCTACATGAATGAGGCATTTACCAAATCAGGCCCACCACATTAAACAGAAAAGCAATCTTTATTCATGGTAACTTATCAGTTTCAATTAATCAACCCTAACAATGGAAATTCTGATGTGTTCAAGCAACTTGAAAGCAATAGGTCATCTCCAGGGCAGCATTGTCGTGTCTTTGTGCGGAAGGTTTCAAACAAAGCAACATCTTCAATAAATATACATGCATATACATACGTACATGTGCATATATATACATACAAATGGACAGTTACAGCTGAGCCCTGTGGTGCCAACAAAAATGCATGTGTATTGTTTATTATTTTTATTATAGCACATGTAATTGTTTTCCCTCAAGTATTACTTTTTGAGCTCTGCAAGTTTAAACAAAAGGAAAGAAATTTCCATTGGATGACCATCCTTTCAGTTTCTGTACTGCTATGTGAATAGCATTGTGCAAACCATTCCATTGGTTTTGAAAAGGGGTAACCATTGGTTTGATTTGGTTACACGGTTTAGTAAAGAGCTCCCTCCCACTGCCTTAGGGTCTGTGAAAGGTCTGTGACCTGTTTAGAACTGCCAAGTGAAATGTCATGTTGCCCCTCCCAAATGGGAGTATCTGCATTCATTTGATCAGTATAAAAAATGATTGGGGATGGCGAGATCAGTGCTTTTGAATTGCAATTTATAGCAGTTTACAAAAATGCACATTGTTGGAAAAGAAAACATGGAAGTGTTTCTTTCTAAATTGCATTACCTGTGAAATGTCATTAGTCTTTTAAGGATAGTTACATCCTTTTTTTATTATTTAGGAGACTTACTTCAACTAAAGAAAATCAGAATTTTATTACATTATTATTTTTTTAACTTGTATTTTAGTGTTAGTGGTAGAATTTAAGAAAACAATGTCTCTTGAGTTTTTCATATAAACATAATTTGTTATGTCCATTTATTGATTTTCTAAGACTATCTTTGTTAATGAGTTGTATTAGTAGATGATTCTTAATTCTCTTTCCCAGATTATAAAGAACATTTATTCGTTGGTAAATTCCTTGTCTGCTGATTTGTAATCGAGTAAAATCTCAAGCACACTTAACTCTAGCAAGTTTCCACTATTCCTTCAACATTGTACTACCAAACTTCTTTGTAAGATGAATACTTTTCTAAATTATGGAACCCATCAACTCACCTACATGTATGCATAGCTTTATACAAGGAAATTTCATTTCATTAAATGTACAAAAGAATACATAAAGCTTATCTAAAAAGTTTAGGTAGCCTGTTCAAGTTCGCAAGGGCTGAATGCAGCCTCCTGGAGTTTCTGGGGTGGGAAACGATGCGCTTAACACGATTTCCAGCCATCTCACGAGCTCCGAGCTCCGTATCTTTACCTAAGGCAGTGTGTAGCATTGGACATTACTTTAAAGAAAGCTTTGCGTAAGGAAAGTTACCTTGGGAAAAGGCCCTTGGGGCTTCCCTGTTTGATACTCGACTAGAAAAAGAAAGGCCTTTCTGCAAAAAAGACTTGACCCAGATAGACTCTGGAGCACTCCACTTTGAACCTCCCAAGCGTTGAAAGCCGAGGTTGTCACGTTTTTATCTTTGTTCATGTTAAGCCTTGGAATGACAGCCTGGCTCCTGTGTGTTCCCCTCTCCCACTGCCCCGGCTGTGAGTGTCCACATTGACACCTACCGGTGACCGCAGGCTGCAAGGCTTTGTTGCCTTCTCCACGCTCCCGGCTTTCACTGGGATTAGCCCAGGGCCTTTGTTCCCCTTCAAAGCTGGAACATCGCATCCCATGTTGTGGCTTTCCTGTCTCAGACCCCCAGCGCTTTCCTCACAATTTACACACCAGGTAAATGTTCCTCCCCACAGGGCAGAGAGTCCAAAGTTGAGTTGGGGGCGGGGGACATCTTCCCATTCCCCAGTTTCAGAGCCCAGGGCCAATGTGGTTTTCTTTCCTTCTCATTCATAATTTTCTATTTCACATGGAAGAAACACTGCAAAGCAAATGGAAATTTAAATCTTGGAAAAATTAAATCCCTGGACCCAATCACAGACAACTCTTCCCACTGTTTTTATTCTCTTACAATGGCTTCAGCAGAATGTTGGGTACGGGCCTTTATCATGGGCACCTAAGACCATTCCTGCAGTCTAGAGCTGCTGGAGAGCCCCAGACTGTCTCAGAGCAAAGCCTGGCCGGCACACGCTGTTTGGAAGGCCAAGGATAATCTGCCTGCCTGCCCTACTTCCCTCACCAGCTCTCTTCCAGGTTCCTGAAGACGCTCCCAGCTAGGGCCAGGCCTGGGAGGACCCACTAAACTGATGCAAATGCTACAGGGGGGAAAGTGGGGAGTGGTTTGTGTATAGTAAGTAAAACACAGTTTGTGTCTGTCCATCTTTCTTCACATTTAGAAACGTTGGAATCCCCAAAAGAAGAGCCCTTGGAGAAGCTATCCACGAACCAGAGCAGCCCGGCGACTACTGATTAACTGGGCAGAAGCTTGGGCTGCACAGACGGGGCCACAGAAAGAGCAGCCTCTGCCATCCTGGTGTAAGATGCCTCCCTTGCAAAGGATACTATCTCCAAATATTTGCTAAACTAATTGTTTAATCTCTCCGGATTATGTACACTAACCAACACTGAGCTCGAATAGACTTCAATGCGTGTCTTGCGTGCGCTCCTTTCCACGCCCTGAAGGAAAGTGCTGGCTCGTGCTGGGTGGGTGGGGCGCACTGACCCTGCATGGCGACCACCTTCATTCGGGTGCTCCCCAGACTCGAGCATCTAAGGGAAGGAGCAGACGTTAATTAAAAAGTTTGAGGCACTCAACTTGTTTGACTCCCTCTCTAAATCATCTAGTCTTCATATACCAAAAAAGTCAAAGTGATTTGATGTCTCCTCACCCAATAACTATTCCCCATGAAGGAGAGTCATAAAGACTAGAGGGAGACTGTACATTTCCTCAAGGAAGATTCATTCTTACCCTGGCACAGGGAACCTAGCCACATCTTAAAGGCTGTCAACAATTCTTTAGTAAGTAGGGAAACTCTGGAGTTTTGCTTCCTGGTAAGTATGCAAACCAAGATTCTGCTGGAATGCCAGGCACCATTTATCAAAAGGCCGATTTGCTTTTCCTCCACGCGTAATGTCCAACTTGGTTCTTCCTATTCCCCTAACTACCAGTAAGGCCTTAAGAGCCTGTATCTGAATCGTAGGCTCCGGATTACAGAATTCTAAAGTTATTTATTAAGTGTCAAGAAATATATTTGTGGTAGTTGTCACATAACGCGGATACACTTTAGTCCAAAAGAAAGCTGGAGAGGCTATTTATTTGTGCGTAAAAGGAACAAGATTTAAATGGAGAGAGATGTGTTATTTTCGGCACAAGTGCACGGGGTGGCATAGCGCTGTGCAGCATTATTCCAGCTTCATCTACTATGCACTATATGCCGCTGTCTCCAAAGGAGTGTTGCCCTAGAAACTTGTTTTAAATCTGCTGCTATATATCAACACCTTGTTTTAGCAGTCCTTGGCTGAATTACAGTTACACAGTTTGGCGCTTCTTTCAAATTTCCTCCCATCAGTTTGGCTAAAGAAAGGAATTTTTCTCCTTTAGAAATGAATTGGCTTAATTAGTAAGTAGATTAATGGCAATTGCTGGTGAGTTGGTTTCCAGCAGAGTTTCACCAGAGAGGGTTAATCGGAGTCAGGTCTGGAATCTTTCCCAGAACTGGCTGCCAGCCATTTCCACCAACCAATCAACCCTACAAGAAACAGAGGAAATGAAATAAAATTTATATTCTCTGTGCCATCACCCTGGACAGAAATTCCTTGGAAGCAGCCTCCTGGTTGGGTGCAATATCAAACTGCTTCATTTCAAAACTTTAATAGAAACTTTAAACTGCAAGATTTACCTGGGTACCAAACCAGAGTTTCAAATGGCATAATAAAGGTCTCCACAGAACCGTAGATGTATTGGAAATTTCCGAGGCTCTCAGCCAATTTCAGGTTGGGAGAAATTACAAACCACCCAGGTCCAGCCCTAAATCTGTTGTCCATCAGAAGTCCTTCAAAAGTTTTGCTGTATGTTTTTCAGCCTTTTAACTTATTTTTTTCCATAGTGATGAAAATGCATTCATAGTTTAACTTGCAGCTGCATTAGTCTTGCAAAAAAAAAAAAAATCCCTGCTGAGAAATGCATATAATAGGAAAAACAGATCGGCTGGACAGCAGTGTAATTAATGCCAGAAAGGGCTGAGGCCAGTTTCATAGTTTGTCTTTTGAGGATATCAAGACGAGACCTGGTGAAAAATGACGCATGCTTTAGCATTTCAGAAAGCTGGCAACTGGCAGCGCTTTTCCTTTTTTCTTTGACTTTCTGCCGCGGAACAAAGAGGTCCGCAGAACTAGCTAGGTTGTAATGAGTTCTATGTCCCTAGCACATTAAGTGCATCATGGAAACATATTGTATCGAAATAGTTTGGAGGAGAATACTGGGGATGAAAGAGAATGGGTGCTTTGATCAGCTCCCTGGGGTCCTGAGCGCGCACAGACTGACTTGCAAGGAGTTATTCAGCTCCAGCTAGACACACTTACAACACCATTAAAAGAAATTTGCATATCTGTAATTTATCACATTGGTCCAGAACATTATTGCAAGGTAAATAAAAGTTACTTGAATAAAAAAAAATCAATCATCGCAGATATAGGGAAAACTGTGAAGCCAGTCTTTCCACTGAAAATAGAAATAAGCATGTCCGTAAAACATGATGACTTAGAAGCTGACTTTATTTAAAAATGCCTTTAGAACAACAGGTTATGCCGTGGCAAAAATAAGAGTGGCCACAGTTTCTTTGCCTTTCTGCTTTAGGGGAGTGTGTTCACAGCTTCCCACTGGAATAAAGTCAGAAAGTCGAGAGGCATGTGTCTATAATCAGCCTGCAACATGCAGATAAAAATTAGTACACACTTTGAGCAGTTATGAAAGACAACTTTATCTCTCTGGCATTTGCAAATACTAAGGTTAAATCTCATTTCTTCTCCTGTTGATTTCATTCCTAAGCCTTGTTTGCTGAATTTAGCTCAAGAGGATGAAATGTCCGGAGACCTGGTCAATAGGAAAACTTGCTTTCGAACGCCCCATGAGAACAAGTGAAAATTTAACAGGCAGGCATTGTTCTGAGTTTTGAAACAACCCAGTTAAACAGCAAACAAGAATCTTCAACTTGACCTTGAAAAGGCTGTGTGCCTGCAGATAATCTATCAAACAACTCTGGATGACAATGATATATTTCAAAGTATTGTCAGATGAAAAGATTGATAAATTTGCTGCTGCAAAGAGAGAACTTTGGAAACAGGCAACAGGCACTTTAGCTCCCTGACTCCGCCTCCTCATTCTCTGTCCTCACTGCCCCATCCCCACCCCACCACCCCCAGCCAGCCTTGAGGCCAACTCTGTAGAGGAAGGCCAGTAAATCAGCACTGTAATATTTCTTAAGGGGCAAGGAAAAGCTGTGAACAGTACTTCTCATATTAAACGCAATATTTCTTTGCTTTCGCGGGAACAAAAGTCATAGCAAGACGTCTTTATGGCTAATTCAGTCAAAGGCACATCCCTGGTTCCCCCCGAAGAAAGGTCAGTGTCGTTGTGTTTGGTCCACCGAGGGGGTGTTTTCACACTGAAAACTGAGCCAGCTGTCCCTGTCATACCCTCGCCATTGGGGAGCGCGCACTAGCCATGGTTATTAGGCACTTCTACACCTGCAAAATACACCAATTTCCAAGACTTTTCAAGACACCCTCCCTTTCTCATGCCCCCTCCTCTTGTCTACTAAACTTTGACAACACAATTCAAGCTCTGGATGAAAGCGCTGCACGCAAGAAGAACTCTTGGGAGGGGTGGCCCAGCTACTGTCTCCCTGTGTCTATTGAGCGTCCATCAAAGAAATGAGACGTCAAGTGTGTTTTCAAAAGTATGGAAAAACTTCCAGATAATCACTTCGAGGTGTCACGCATTTGCTATTGCCACACACGCTAACTGTTGAATCCTAAATATTTTCATATGCACCGGTATGAGGTGTGGGGTTGCAGCCAAGCGTCCTTCGTGTAGAAGTGGTTTGTTTTAAAATTTGTAATTAGCATGTCACTGACAAGCGCCGCAAGATAACGTTTCTTTTGAGTTGCCCAATGCCAGTGCACGTCTATGCTTTTAAAATCCAAAAGCGAACACCTGCCCAACTGGATTTCGTAATAAAACTTACTTCAGAAACATACCCTAGCTAGGCTCATACCCTGAATCCCATTCCAAAGTCTTGCGCTCCTGAGATAGGCTACTAACTAGCTATTTGGTAGACGTTCAGCGACTCTAACAGGAAAGGAGCTAGAAGGGATCCTGTGCAGTAGCTGAAGAGAAATTGTAACACTAGAAATAATTCAGAAAAAAATATATTTAAGAGCGAGAATACCCCAAGGTGCCGGTACCTCTAAGACAGGAGGGCCAAGGTAACTAGCTTTCTCCATCCGCACTTACAGATGGCCTAGGAGTGGGGATAGGGAACCAGAGTCTAATCTGGCTGCGGGTTGGGGGCAGGGGGCAAGGAGAGGAGAAGAGCGCATTTAATTAGCCGGCGATGTGTCTCTAATCCTCATCTTTCTCTAATTCACCCAAACTGCGGAGCTTTACATGATAAGTTCCCAGAGTGGGCAAGGTGCAGGGGTGCCCAGGACGCCTTGGGTTCCTGGGACAAAGGCGGAGGTGAAACACCCTACCTGCCACAAGAAGCAGGGAGAGGGTGCCTCTCACCAGTAGGGAACCCTAAACTCTTTCCTAGAGGCTGGGAACCTCCACACAACCCGCCTCCACGAGCAAAGCCCCAGCGCCTCTCCAAAGTGATGTCAGCGCAACAAGTTGCTTGGAACAGGTGCCAGCCAGCCAGGGATGGGATTGGCATTAAGCTGCGGGGATCAGTCAAGGGCCAAGACTCCCGCAAAAGCAAGGGCAGATCCCCAGAGGTCCGAAAGTGGGGACTGGCTAGAAATCTGCGCCCCTGCCACTGTCGCTGCTAGCGCTGGCGCCTCAGCCCAGAGGCAAAAACCAGCTCGCCACAACCTGCGCCCCTGGGCCATGGGGCCCTCTGCAGGCGGCCGCCCGAGGGCTTCCCGCCCGGCCGCCGGCCGTAGTTGCCCCGGGCCTCCTCGGAAGAAGCCCGGGATCCCATCCCCAGGTTTCCTTCTGGCCTTTCGCTCCCCTCTCTGCTCGCTGCTTCCTGGAGCCCCTCTTGGAGACTTCCATGCGCAAAGATAGCAGAACTGAGGAGAGCAAGGCGCCGGGCAGCCACTTCCAGCCTCGAGCGAAGACAGGCAGCACCAGAGCCCCGAATGCCCCTGGGAGCAGGGGCTAGGCAGGCCTCCG